CCATTAAGAAGAATATATGCAGTGTATTATTTGTTGAAACTGTACTTTCGATTTGATTTGAAACTGTCTCATTGCTATCTGTTTATCAATAAAATTTTGAAAAAAAAAAAAAAGAAATTGATACCACAGAACTAGAGCTCCTGAGTCAGGGATTATCAAGGGGGTCCCACATTCTGAAGTTTAAGTCTCCAAGAAAATATGAGTTAGTGACATAGATCATAAACATGGATTATATTTTTGTTCATCTATTTCTGTATTATTCTGGTTGTCATTCTTAACAAGATATGAGAATAATGATAACCCTCAAATAATTATAGAACATCATTATTCACAAAAGTTGCTAATTGGCGCTGTGTGTGTGTGTGTGTGTGTTGTGCTCCAATGAGTGGGTCCATGGTATGGTGCTGGAGACCGCACTTAGGTTTCATGCAGTGAGCACTCTACCACCAATGACAGCCCTAGTTTCTTACATTACTTTTTTAAAAAGTCCCTAGTATAAGAACTCAAAAGAAGAACTAAAAATAGAAAGGTATAGCACAGTTAAAAGGAAAGCAAGAACTTGAGGATTAGACAACAAAGAGAGGGCAAGAAGAAAATGTAGGAAACATGACAGGGCAAAGCCATAAATTTATATGCACAAGATGGGTAAGGCAATGATCCTGAGGATCTTCAGCAGTTGTTCTGAAAATAGCAGTATATTGGTAGGATTCTCATGCTGACTAACTTTATGTGCTGAAACCAGTGAATGAAGCAGCTGCACTAAAGAGAGCAATGTGTGATACTAGGTCCATGTTTGGAATGCCTGTCATTTTGGTCTTCTAAATACATACTTTTTATCATGACATACCAATTACTGCCATACTGTCTCTCAAGTAAATGTTTGTTTTGTTTTTTTTTTTAAAGGGTAATAAATGAAAACAAGAGACAAGAAAAAAAATGTCACAGGACTGTCTTGCTACAATTCTGTATATGGTTAGATTTCTAAATTTCTGTGTAAAAATATGTAACTGTTTAAAAAGTCCTAATTAGAATGAAGAAAGAAGTTGGGTCCGTAGATAGAGATGTTAAAGAGATTTCTCTAACCAAGTAGCCATGCAAGCTCAAATTGTTTTTCTCTTTGATAACTGCCTTCCTCTCTTGAGTTCACATGTGGGAAATCTAAATTGCAGATTTTCTCAGTGTGCCACAGGGGACAGTACTACTTGAGTGTAGGGGAGTTAAGTGGCCTACTGCTCACATGGGGTTATGATTTCAATGGCTGTGTCAGAATTGCCTGGAGACACCTTAGATCTCAGACAGCAGCTCAGGCTTCCTTCTCCAGCTTTGGGCTCAGAAGGCAGCAGGCAGGAATGGTATTTATGCCTTGATGTTGCCACGTGGAGAACATGGCAGAAGGGTTTGAGGGCCTTTATTTGAGAACCATGGACTGGGATGCTGCTTTCTGATAACTGATGGAAGGGTTGACTTCAGACAAGCCACTATAGTACTTGACTCTAGAATTCAGGAGTTAATGCATCACTCTTCTCTTATTTTTCAGGCATATCCAAACCATTATTCCCACACTAAACATCACATATTTGGCTTTCGTTGATATTTACCATGCTAATGAAATGCAACAATTCATAAAAGTGAGGGGATAGGGTTTATGGAAGTGGTGTGACTGGATACTTTTCTAACTGCTGCTGATTGTAGTTGAGGTTTAGAGGTTCTTTTGTGCTTCATTTTCTAAATTTTTGGAAATTCACTAGAATGTGAAACACTAAAAATAGTGTGAGGTACGCTTTATATTTAATGAATATGTTCTGGAAACTGCCATCTTTGTACTTGTTTCAGCACAAGTATTTCAAACTTTTATATAAAAATTCCTTTGTTTGTCTTACCCTCTTGCTCTCATCTGTGATGAAGGCTCTCTCTGACAGAAAACAAGGTTGCATAATTGCTCGAGGACCAATCTAGGTCCTGGTTAGACAGAAGCAAAACCATGATGACTGAAAAATCTGTGAATAATGTGCTTTTAGGACTACAATCAGCTATTATTTGTTGTTTTAGTAGCCAGTAATTAGCTATGTGGGTCTATAATGGTAATTGATTCATTTGGAAAAAAATGTTAGTATACTGAATAGTGAATATATAATAATGTGCTTAAATAATTTGAGTAAACAACTTAAAGATATTTAACTGAAAACTATTAAAAATTATTGACAGGTAGTTCCTAAAATATACATTATCTATATTTATTTTAAATATGCAGATATTGATTTAACGGGCCAGACCATTTTAAGGAATAACCTATATGTAACTCTATTCAGAATGATAATTTTATTTTGATTTTAAAATTCAACTCTGGGAAGGTAAAGTGTAATAAGATGATCAATTTTAAAGTGAAAAAGAAAATCAAAGTAAATAGGAAAAGGACTGATATAGAAATTTATCACACTGACAGAGTGATTATAGAGTACCATAGTTAATTTATAATTTGATTAGAGACATATAAGTGTGTGATATTTTTAATACTTTATGAATTTTTGAAAATATTATTCGATGTCATGAAGAATAGATACCAGTGATCCAGAAATAAGTTTTTATTGTTCTGTTTGTGTCTAGCATGCTTTAACATGTAAATTTTATACTATTATTACACTAAGAAGACCTGAAAATGGATTCTCTGTTTCTTTTCATCAATCATTGAAAGGGAGAAGCAGGATCCCCAGGCACACCCGGGCATGACGGACCTCGCGGACAGCCTGTGAGTAACTTTTCAGTTCACCACTGAAGTGTGATGTTCTTGGAGTGTCACAAAATCCTGTGACTATCTCAGCTTTCCTTCCTTTTGCCCTGCTCTTGCTCAGTTACTTCCAGATTCTGGGGGTGGTGGAGGTCTTAAGCATTGCAGTGCTAAAGCCTCTCTTGCCAATGGGGAGCAGGTGGGTGTAGTGTTGGTGTCAGCCACACCCCACATGTCCAGATGAGTGCTGGCATAGACCTTGAGGTCTGCGGCAGAGTCTCCACCCTGCATCGCTGCACCACTGGTGCATTATTCCATACTGTGTTCTCTGGGCTTTTGGCTTCAATGAAAATCAGGGATAGAGAGACATAAGACAGAAAGTGCTAAAAAAGAATACTAGATATCTGTACTTTTAGCAAGTAGACTAGATGATTCTTCAGATGAATTTTGGAAATGTAGTTGTCCTGCTTATATTTCTACAACTCACAACCAATATTTATATATTTATCTTAATTTGTATTGGTACATATTTTCAGTACACTTTTATATAGCACATCTCGCTTGACTCATTAACTATGTCTATCCTCAGCAAACTTGCACTTTGCCTGGGGCAGGAGTAACTAAGTCAGGAAGTGAAATAATAGGTATGTTGGCATTTGTCATGAAATGTTCAGTTGGCCAATCAGAATCTATATGCTGGACATGGGGACAGAACTTCCCAAGGCTTCTTATATAGGGAAGAAGAATTGAGCTCTTAATATTTCTCAACTTTACATGAATTTTCATTATGTGTGTTACGTTGCACTAGAGAAAATTCTAAATAGAGCTTCTGCATTTAAGAGGTGCTATTTAAGAATTATATTTTGATAATATAATTTGGGAGGTTGAAGTAAAAGGATGACAATGACTTCCAACATAAGGATGTTTATAGTGTCAGCTATGAACTAGTTGTAGACTCAGAAGGCCAGGGTAAAAGACAATCTCTGCTATATGCTTGCTATGTTTATGGGATAGATCACTTCATATCTGAATACCTTTCTCTTCATCTGAAAGGTGTAGATGTTTATAAAAATTTTAATAAGTCTGTTCTGAGTCTCATAAGAAACTTGAAATATTGTAAAAATATCATTCATGCATGAAATTATTCTAAGTACTAGGGAGTGTAGGAAGGCAATCCCCATTTTGACTGGCTAAGAAACTTTTGGCAAGGATTTTGGGGGTAGAATTGTCAGAGAAAGAGAGAGACAGAGACAGAGAGACAGACAGACACAGAGACAGAGACAGAGACAGAGAGAAGGATGGGCAGACAGAGATACACACAGAGAGAAAGATGACAGACAGAAACAGAGGCACTGACCTGAGTAAAAGCACGTGGATGGGGTGGTTGATGTGCCCAAGAAACAAGGAAATAATTTAAATTAAGTGCTGAGGATGCAGTTAAAGGTCCTGTTGGGGATAGGAAGTATTTAGGAAGGTTATTAGAATTGTGATATTGAGATCCAGAACAAAAAATTAGGAAGGTAAACATTAATTCACCTACATTTGAAATGTTTGTGAGGATGAAAAGAATGGTATGATCAAAGCAGTGTCTCACAGGAAGTTTACAAGTCCTGCTATAAGCAGAATGGGTGGAGAGGAAAAGACACTGAGTCTGTCCTTAATCATTTCTACAGACAAGGCATAGGGTATAAAAAGTCAGATCTTTCTAGGAATGGAGAGAACTTGTGGGGAGAATGTGGGTTCAGTGCATCTGAACTATGATTGTTATTAGAGTGCAAGAAATTTGGAGCCGTGGGACTGCATATGAGAATGGGTGTAATTATTCATTTATGTTGCAGTTTCAGGAAAAATAAGAGAAAGAGGCAGAGAAATGAATGCAACATACGGTAGAGGTGGCAAGGGAGATACAAAAGGGAGAGAGAGAGAAAGAAGGGGAAGGAAATGAAAGGAAGCTACGAGATGCAAAGGTTAGACTGGGCTCTTATTATGAGAAGACTACCTTATAAATGTTTGTGAGTTATTTAGAATCTGAAACTTGTTTTCCCATAGAAATAATGCCCCAAAGGGAGACTGACTAATGCATCTCTGTAAACAGTCATATGATAGTATAAGGAGAGGTGTTTACTTTGAAAATAGTACCTGTTCAGACCTGTTCATAAAATATCAAGGATGTTAAATAGTAAGTGAGGCATTCTGGGGGGATTTCCTTTGCTGGCTGTCAGAACCCCTACCCTTGCACTGTACTGCCCAGTCTTGCTCTTTCCTCAAGAGGTAGCCTTGTCTAAAGCTTTTGTGCTAGAGTCAAGTCCCATAGGAGACATTGTGGCTCTTCAGACTTCAGTCTTTACCTTCTTTTCTCTTCCTCCCAGCGTTTGTTGCATGACTATCATGTGTGGCTCAATAGGGGAGAAACACAGAGGTGGCCTTGGGGAGGCTTGGAGTTTATTGGGAAGGTAGATGATAAAGAGATAAACAAAATAGAAACCCAACTGGGCAGATCCAACAGACAAGTCAGTGAAGAGCTGAGGCACAGTGGTGGGACCCAGGAGTGGACGGAGGTTACTTAGATTCAGTCTACATGCAGTGGATACAATGTGGGACATCACTGATTGAGACCCTTGACAACTCTCCTGTACCTGCCCAACAGATCCATTGAGGGAGGCAGGAGGAGGCTCCTTACACCACGTTACACACCCCAGCCATGGACTAGTATAGGTTTCTAGCCTATCAGGGGCCCAGCTGCACAGCAGGAAGTGAGCAGTGGGTGAGTGAGGAGACCTTTGTCTGTGATTACAGGCACTGTCCCTTTGTTGCATCACTGTTTGACTCTGCCTCCTGTCAGATCAGTGTGGCATTAGATTCTCACAGGAGCAAGAATCATAGTAGGAGCTGTCATGTAGGATATAGATTATATGGTTCTTATGAGAATCTAATGCCTAATGTTTTGAAGTAGAGCTCAGGCAGTGATGATAGCACTGGGGAATGTAGTAGATATTTATTACGAATATATATTAATAAAATTTAGAAAGAATCTAGCCCCCCAATCAATGTTAAAGTTTTCTTCCAGAAATCCAGTCCCAATTACCTAAATGGTTAAGACCCTGCCTTAGCCTTTTTCTTCCACTTCCTTCTTTCTTGATAAATAACAAAGGTGAAATGAGGTCTCCTTAGCCAGGAATCAACTCTGTTGAGAAATCAATGAGTATATTATGCATCTAAAATTTGCTACCTGTTACTCTTCTGGTCTATGTTCTCTTCCAAAGAAGAACATGTAGTGTTACAAGCAATTCTGTTATTTTAACAATAAATGAAACATCAGGAATGTGAAGATTGATTTTTGAAAGAAAACAAAAAATAGTAAAAATATTAGAAATGATACAGAATTTCACTGAAAATGATAGGAACTCAGCAACGGTTGTTATATTTCATATTGTTGTCTTCAAAGTAGTTGTTCAGTCTACCAGATATAAGCATGCAAAATTGGTCAAAAAATTAAAAGAAGAAAAAAAATAAGCATTAACTGTTCCTTTCAGTAAACCAGTAGAAATCTGCAGAGGATTGTCTAAGTCTCTCAAAGGACTTCTATCTAGAACATATTAGGCCCCAAAAGTTCAAAGACCCAATGCAAACAATGGACATCTGAGATGAATATGCACTTCTCAGATGAAGAAGTAGAAATGGCAAATAAATAAGTGAAGAAATGTTCAACATCATTGGTCATTCAATAAATGCAAATTAAAACAACACTGAGATTATATCTCACCCTAGAAAGGATGGCTATCATAAAGAATTCAACCAATAACAAATGCTACAGGTACTGTGGGGAAAAAAGAGGAGAGAGGGAAAGATTGACCTGTGCCACTTGTGAAAAATCGTTGAAAATAGAAAAATGTTCTCTAACCTTTGTTTGTTTTGTGGTACAAAGAAAGGAAGATTGTTCCATTCCATATGAATACTGGTTGTAAGTATTTATACTGAATGATCTGGCCCCACTAAAAAGAAGGAAGTGGAAGAAAAAGGCTAAGGCATTTGTTCTGTAATACAGTAGCTAAAAATTAATAGACTTTAATTGGAAGAACAGAAGCTCATAGAAAAATGCTTTTAAACTAATTAAACACAGTTTATTGCAGCCTAGTGGTGACTCACCCCTGTTAGCAGACCAATGCATATAAACACTGGCTCCTAGAATCAAATTGGAAACAAAGACTTTTTCCCTGGGAATGACTATATCATTGTAAAGTATAAGTGTGCTTACATGCTTGTCTTGAATTTTAAAAGCTAGCTGTTCAAACTTAAAAATAATTCAGTGCTATAAGTAATTAATGTTCTAAGTTGCAACCAATTAGCTCTAATCCAGTTGACTATAAATTTAGTTTATTTTTTAAGAGAGAAAAAAACAAAAAACAGTACACAATTTGAAAGCATGAGAGGAAATGAACAATGGTTATTATATTAATTGCATATTGTTATCTCAAAGTAGTTGCTCAAATTATAAGATATGAATATGTAAAATTGATCAACAATATAAGCACTAACTCTTCCTTTCAGTGAACTAGTAGTTCAAGTATCTTAGCTACTATATTTTCCCTTCCTTTTCTCCTTCTCCATCCCAGTTTTTGCATATCAAAAGAAATCACCAACAGAAGAAAAAAAACTGCATTAATTGGAAAAAATGTAGCCAACTCTCCCTCCAACAAAGTATTTATTTATTTATTTATTTATTTATTTTGCGGAACCAGGGATTGAACTCAGGCCCTTGCATTTGCCAGGGAAGTGCTTATTCTACTTAGCCATCTCCCCGGCCCCTCAGACAAAGGATTTATACCTAGAACATAAAGAATTAAAAAAAATCAGGCCCCCAAAACACAAAGACCCAATCCAAAAATGAACATTTGAGATTGCTACACATTTCTCAGATGAAGAAATACAAATGACAAATACATGTGTGAAAAAGTGTTCAACATCATTGGTCATTTGAGAAATGCAAATTGAAACGACACTGAGATTCCATCTCATCCAAG